ACACTGAACCGTCAAACATCAAGTAACAAATGGATTAACACTTTGATTTGTCGTTAATTGCACATGTCGGCATTCAGTTGGATATTTTCAAGCACACAGACACGCAGGAACCGCTGCAACAAGCACGAAATGTGGTTAGTTGCGAAAAACAGTTCCCTGCTGTCACCTGATCTGACGCTGATCATTTTATATATTGCCTTAAAAAATTTAAGGGTATTGGGGTCCATCGGGCCGAGAACCTCGATACATATTGGCAAGAATTCCATCGAGGGGAGGGCGTTCCCATATTTTTTCATTTTCTCGTCCGCTGCCCTGGCCGCGGCCAAACCGCATTCTTTACTTGTCAGGTTTACATATCGTTCGGCAAGGGTGCCAGGGACGGTAACATCCCACGCCAAACATCTGCCGGCTCTCCAAGGTATTAGTGTGCATCCGTCCGGGCGCCTACCATCATGCGCAGAAATGCCGGATGGTTTCTTGAGAACCGGGATTGAAGCCTTGGAGAAGAGCCCACAAATGTAATCGTTTAGCGCTGGGTGACGTAGTTGACGGCCCCCACCCAGGCGACAAACCAAACCGTGGTGCCCAAACTCGTCCGCCCCAGCGCCACATCGGCACGTGTATTTATTTTGAATGACCAGGCCAAGTCTGAAGCCAATGGCAAATCTCACAGACTCGTCGTCAAGCCTGGTGCCCCCAGAGGTGTTGGGCCACGATCTCAACCACCCACAGCTGGCAACGCTGGACATGGCCAACAAACGAGCGGTGGAAAAGTCGTCGCCGCATGAAGACAACAAATTTTTAAAGATTTTTTTATATTCTTCGTTCAAAATTTGGACGTGCGTACGGTCCCCCGGGGCGGACACTGGGGGAAGAATATCGCGGCACCGAAAAAACCGGTGGAGCAGGGAATACTGCAGGTTGGGAGTGGCAGCGGCAGAAGAATTATAAACAACAGGAGCCAGCTGAACCACGCTAAGCAACCCCAGCCCACCAAATCGCACCGGCAGCTGAGCCTGGGACCAACCACTGTCGGTCACTTGAACATTACAACGACGACAGGGCGGTGCGCAGGTCTCCGTCAAATTCGCCCAATTTAGAAGGGTCAATGCGTTTGGATGTACACAAGAAGTACATCAATTTGGGCAAACTGAGGGCATTGCGGATAATAGTCAAGGCATCATGAGCCGAAAGACAGGAAACATGACCCAGGACGAATTTAAGCTCTGAGAGCTTTTGGTCAAAAAACTTTATTTGATAATCGCCCTCGACCAAGGGTGTGCCTAAAAAACTCAGTTCTGATGCACCAACTCTGGGTATTCCAGCCAGCGCATGTGGGACCTGAAATAAACTTTGGCAGTGAAGTTCGCATTTTTTAATGTTTAACTCTAAACCAATTGCAGCGGAGTTATGTTTCAAATATTCGTAGCTATCGGCCAGAGTTGGGCCGTCCGAAGCAATGTTGATATCATCCAGATAAGCGCAAACGAAAGAGGACGAAGCTTTCTCTAAGAGTGGATGAAGAGTTAGTGCGAACAGCAAAGGACCAAGGGGATCACCCTGCTGTACCCCCTCGGACGATTCTACAACCCAAGAGTGGTAGCCAAGGGAAGAGACTCCGCCATAGGCAGAATGGCAAAAATTATAGATATTGGGGCAAAAAAGTTTGACAGCCTCCAACAGTGTGTGTGCGTGTGGGTGTATGTTATTGTTACTATAGTATTTTAGTATTTCTAAGCACTTCTCAATACACTTATAGAGCAATTGATAGTTTGTTTACAAATCAGCACGGAGCTTTCCAGATATCAGTGGGTGGGTAATAAAAACGATTTTTATAAATAAAACATGCAAAATTTTAATCATTAAACATAAAGAAATTTGCACACACGCACGCATGAACACACACACGCACGCACACTTCACAAATACATAATCTCAAATAATGAAAGTTTGAATTTTAGAAACTTGAACCAACGCATCAAAAACACAAAATGGGCACAATTAATTTTCATGTATATTACAGAAAATAATACCGGATATAATTTGTTTCACACTGACACAAACATTCGAATGTGTGCGTGTGAGTGTGTGTGTATATTTACCAAAATGTAAATTTAATTCTCTTAAAAAATGTCATTTGTGAAGACTTATGTTTGTTTTTTATTATGCTAGATAGCTATCAAATACCAATTTTGAGCAGTTAGTTCTGTCTTGAATAAATTTTATATTGACAAAATTTATGACTTTTCAATTAAGCTTTTTTTCCCGACCTCAAAGCCATGGACCATGGCGGTTTATAATGTGTGATCTATTATAGTTTTTAAAACATTGGTTTATAACACTTTTTAATGTTTGGTACATTGATTTTTTGTACTCTCTCTCTCTCTTTTTCTCTCTCCCTTTTCTCCTTTTATTTTTTTCTTTTTCTCTCTCTCTCTCTCGCACATTCACTGTTTCTCAATTTCACCCACCAAACACACATGCATGCACTGCACATACATAGAAAAATTTTGCAGTACTCTTACAGCTATGCACACATATAGACACACACAAACATACAAACATATATCCTCATAAAAACACACACACACACACACATGTCTACACAAACACATAAACACACACATGTCTACATAAACACATAAATAGTAGACAACTTGTGTGAACGCAAAACACTCGAAAATAATATTTTCAAGTTTACATCAAAACAAAAACATCAGTAAAACAAAAATAACCGTCAGTAATAAATTAAACTAACGACTAAAAACACACACACACAGACATACACGCACGTACACGTACACGCACACACACACGCACACACACAACTGCATATTTTAAAGACATGTGTGCATTCGGTAATGATAGCGCGAGAGTTTTTTCTTCCGATCATTTGAACGTGTGAGGAATAGTTATTTATGAAGTTGTTGATGGAGTGTGCTAAGCAGTTAATTTTTTTTTTTTTTGAAAAATGTTCTTCCAAAGCCTACCGTCATATATTTTAATACACAAGCACGGTTTATCTACCTGGATGTATTATATCAAAAAAAAATTTTTCATATTTTAAAATTTTTTATAAACATTTCCGTAAATTATATTTAAAATCGAGCGTAAGAAACAAATATATTTTTTATACATCAACTTAACCAATCAGATACAGGCTAAATACTTTGGCTATTTAGCTGAGCTAAAGCTATCCATAGACTCAGATAAGTATTTATTACTATAATAGAGATAATTAATCAATATCTTATTAGCAATAGACTGTTTGGAAACGTATCTGACATACGTCAGCATGAATTTATTATTGCCATTTGAGAGTTGTGAAGAGTAACATTTTCAAATGCTGATGATGGCTAGACTCGCGTGCTTCGCTCTGGTCTATTTTCTTCTCTTCAAAAATAATTATCCTTTTTCCTTCAAAAATAATTTTTTTTTCAACAGTTCTCTGTCTTTCGCAAATAATTTCTCCCACTTTTTGAAATCATAATTCTTCATTGTCGCACTTCAACTCCTGCCATTAAGATCATTCGAAATAATAAACTGTCCAAGATGAGATAGACATGAACAAACTAAACTGGCAGATAGGACTTGTTAATTTCTTAATCTAATCACACAGACGCACGCAAAGGAAGAGAGAAGTAATAAAAAGAGAGAAAAAGAAAGAGAAAGAAAGAAAGGAGGGAGAGAGAGAGAAATGAGAGAGACAGGGACTCCACACTGACTTGCATACGCCAGATACACTAACTCAAGCATAAAACAAGACTATCCCATTTCTTTTTTCTAAAAAATAAACAACCTAAATCATCCACAACGCCTCGAACTGAGCTTTAAATATGTAGAAATTTGATTAATGTTTGCTAGCTGGGAGTGTTAACAAAACTAATTATATAGGCCGGACATATGCCATAGAAACGTCAGCAGAGATTGCGCGCGCGTGTGTGTATGCTTGATCTACGACATACTCGAACTCCCTAATTAATTTTTAGTTTTAAAAATCGTAAAAAAGGAACAACTACCAACAAACTGCACAACATAAACATTTTCAGACATGATTTTCAAAACATTCTTCAAAACAAAATATTGCCAGATGGCGTGCATGGGGATTACAAGTAAATTAATTATCTTAGGAGCTACTTGAATTAACAGTCAAAATGAACATCAATTCACTGGAATGATTTACAACTTCATTACACACATACATACATGCATACATTCAAACAAACATAAACACACAACCGCGCCCACACAACACATTTACAAGCTTTACGAAATTTGACGACTCAATCACATTTTTCTTGTGAAGGTAGCATTTAGTTAAACGAAATTTTTCAAAAGACGCTCTAGCGAGGTTTACATCAATTGAAAACTATAAAAAATTACATAAAGAAATTCTCAGAGGAAGTCCAAAAGATCCTAAAACTATATACACATATCAGTTATAGTGGCAGACCCTTAGCTATGGTAAATGATCCACCCCTCAGAACAAATACCCCTTAACAATTACGCATTAATTAAGCATGTAATATGTAATGGGAGTCCCGAAGTTACCAAATGCGGTCCTACAACGAGAAATTCTACCAAAACCAAGAGTTACTCACAAACGACTAACAACGAACAACTAACAACGAACAACTAACAACGAATAACTAACAGCGAACAACTAACAACGAACAACTAACAGCGAACAACTAACAACGAACAACTAACAGCGAACAACTAACAGCGAACAACTAACAGCGAACAACGAACAACTAACAGCGAACAACTAACAACGAACAACTAACAGCGAACAACATAATTATTCAGATTAATAAAACAACGGAGGTCAGTCAATTAGGGTACTCAGACGGACTGACCAACGGCCGTTGCAAGCCACTGACCAATCAGGTTCGTTATAATTCCTGAGTAATCATAACTACCAATGTCATCATCGCTTACACTGACAATCTTATTAAGATTGACAGGTAAGAATATACCGTACTAATTGACAAAGTGGGTGGGTCTTGTTTTGGTATATCAATAAATTGAAGGGTTTTGTTTGTGGTGTTTTTTTTATTATTTTTTAAATTTTTTGTTTTAATTTTATAATTAATTTTGGATTTAATGAAATATATTTTTAAATTAGATTTTAATTATTAAATTGTTTTTTATTCATTATTTTTTATAATTTAACAAAACTCTAGCAAGTAAAAATAATGTTACAACTTCTCTATTCATTCGCTAGAGTTATTTAAACATCTTGCAGCGTGCCTGCTATATAGGGTATGAAATATATAGCATTGATTGTTGTACCGTTCATAGCATGATGATGTGTTTTACTATCAGCCTAGTGCCCACGTGATTTCGAATTTTTTCTATATTTTTGATTATTATTTAATTTAATTTAATATAATAGATATTTTAACAACTCAAATTTGTCAGAATTGCTGATTTCCAATATTTAATCAAAATTTATACCTAATAGAGAAATGAAAATATGTTTATATGGCATGTTAAGAGAAAGAGAGAGAGAGAGAGAGCGAGAGAGAGAGAGAGAGGAGAGAGAGAAGAGAAAGAGAGAGAGAGAAAGGAAGGTAAGAAAGAGAGAGGGAAAAAAAGAATATTGTTTTTTTAACAAATATGACTTGCGTCAATGACCTAGTAGCCAAAATGTCAAATGAATGATTTTTCTTTTACTACGTGGCCCCTTTGTTATAAATCGCATGGCACTTTTATTGATTCATCAAAATATTCACACACACAAACACATACACACACACACACACATACACATACATATATATACACACACACACATACAAACACACATACACATACATACAAACAACACACAAAAACGGAAATCCAAAATATTTTTTATATTTGTCACGCCTCGGCTTGGCATGAATTTTCTTTTGTCAATATGGATGTCAAGAATAAACAATCTGCAGTATATTAAAGTGTGAATAACATAGAGACGTGACATTTTTTATAAATTTAAATATTATCATTATCTAAACATTAAAAACTATATTATTAAATTCAATTAAAACTCGATAAGTTATCATTTATATTGCTTCACAATAGAATATTCTACATCTCAGTAGGTTGACTATACTTTGATCTATATTCATTCATTCATCTGCAAATAGAATAAAACTAAAGCATACAAACAAAAATTATAGGCTCGTAAAATGTACAATACATCCTTAACTTTTCGTCACGCTATCTCATTGACAAATGTAGCTTCTTAGGCATGTAAAATGCTATTTAATCACAACAATGTATATCTCTACACATAAAAATATACAGTTTTACATGTCTATACATGTGAATTAAACATACGTGTATATATATTTGGCTTTATTTTACCTAAATTTTAGTAAATTTATTCAACTATAATGAACATAATAGCAGTGTTAGCAAAGAAAATGGAAATTTTCTCAACGAAATATCATCGTATAGCGCTTAATTTAATAATATTTTTTACTGTAAAATGTACTGCTGGTCATACTTTGCAAATAAACGATGCGTCGTTTACCAGAGCCTACAGCTATCTGGCGGTTGAGAATTCAAGAGCTGAGGTCTGCTTCAATGAGTCTATGGATATTCTTATGAAGTTAAGAGCGGTTTCTGCTCTTAATTGTTTTAGCAAATGTCTGGTTGGTATACGAACAACTCCTTTTTCTAATTTACTAATTTATTTTTTCATTATCCAATTTGATTTTTATGCAAAAATATTGTTTCTGGTGTTAATTGCATTCGCAAATATTTGGCAGGAACATTAATTTCAGTTTTTCTAACTTAGTCATTTTTTCAAATATTCTTTTGTGAATGTTATTTGGTTAAATGTGCGTAGGCATAGGCTTTGCTAATGTTATTCTTACCTTATCTAATTTATTCAATCAATAATTCCATAATTAAAAAAGTTTGTAAATTTATCCAGACAGCCATGGATAGAAACCTCTTAAAAGGAATCAACTTCGTTAAGTCTACGAAATCTTGCTCGTGTGTTCCAATGATGAACGTCTTGTATAATGTGACGGCCGATCAAACTGGAGACTGTGTGGCCTATTTTGCCCCCAGTAGTTAGTCAATATTCAAAAACACAATTTCACTAAATTTTGTCAAATTTTGTAGCGATTTGTTGTTTCTAGTTATCCCAGATTTATGAACGACAGAACACAGGATTTTTACATCAATACATTTAGAATTAACACATCTTATAATTTTTATGTATAATAAACAAAGATGTCATTTTTTTTATTTGACAAGTGCAAAAAACTGTTATTATCATTAATTATTATTACTTATTTAATATGTAATTATTATCTTCAAACATTCGTTCTTTAAAGGTTTTACTACCTACAAGACACTACCCACATACACGTCAGATACAGACCATATTCGAAGCAGGTCATCACGCAATAGCAACGCGAAACCATGGCACTTCTACTGACTGAGCTAGCTCGCATTCATTTTCTAACTATAGTCACCTTGCCGTGCAATTTTTTATATTTCTCAATTTTATTNTAATTTAAAAAATCTTTTTAATTTAAATCTCCACCAGAAGGCTGTCCACCTACCTTTGATTACGTCATTGAGTACAACAAGTGCTACAAATTTCTAAGTGACCTAAACGGATGGTACATGTCCAGGCTCAACTGCAACAACATGCTCAACTCCCATCCAGTTGTCATAGAGGACCCAATAGAGAATGCTATCATTAAACAGTATTGCAATTCGAGATGTTTGTTCTTTTTATTTTTTTTTTTCATTTCACGATTATAGGATTTTCCTATTGAAATATACTTTTGAAGAATCTGAAATATATTATTGAAATTGTTTACATTAATTGTAACTTAACAAAAAGTATTGAAATTTGTTGTGATTTGTGTGAATTTTCACACGTAATTTTTCCATCATCATCGTTAATGCTAATCTTAAAAATTAATTTCAATAGATACCAACAACAACAACACTCAAACAGTGCCCGCGTATTCTCAGGAATCTCTAAATTATGTACAACAGACAAGCGCCAGACCTTACGTCACTTAATTCTACTAATATACCATCCTCATTAGCATACTATATTATAATTAGAATTATCATAAATTATTCTAATTTATTCAGACAAAGGTGTCAGGACTATTTGGACGTGTGGGTACAGGACCTATGACAATGGCCAAGCAACGCCATTCATCTGGGAACCTTATTTTGGTATGAAACTTACATTTTTATCTGATTTTTTTTAGTATTCTTCTTCAGAATTAGCAGCAGTACCAATAGCAGTAGGCATCTTCACCATCGTCCCATCGTGCAACACAATACCAGTCTAATACAGTTTTAAGATTAACTCGCCTGCCTGTTATAGTTTTTTTAATTTTATTTATTAACTATTATACAAATAATTATACAAAAATTATGATAAATTTGAAAATAAAAATGATTGCGAAGGCATAATAAAGCCAGTAGTTTATGCCGGTTGGCGTGACACGAGACCAGTCTACGATTACGACGGTATGGACTACTGCATTCGTTACGATCTATTCTATGGATGGTACGACGTTGTCTGCTATGGCACATTCAGTGTGGTCTGCGAATTAGAATTAGATTTTTAAACTGGTGTCGCCTAGATTTTTTTTTATTTTTTTTTGTTTCTATTTGCTACTTATTGAGAACAATTTGCTAAATGTTGTCTTCTAATGTCATCAGATAGTAGATGTAGATTTGTCGGTAAAAGGCAGATGGAGATTCAAGCTGGTTTAGTGGCTGTATTTAGACGTATTTTGTAATTTTCAATTTTTTTACCGTGTACTATGTACATACTATGTAATACCGTGAATTAATTTGGTTATGATTTTTTCGTTATGGGTAATCTATTCAACGCTAGCTAACTTTGTGTCTTTGTTTAAAACATCATTGCTATCATGAGTCCAATAGGTAGTTTAAAAATTTTTCAAATAGAATCTAAAATGTTCAAACAAATAAGATATATAAAACAAGATGTAGATATAGATACAGATAAAGGTATAGCTATAAAGATAGAAAAAAGTTAGAGATAGATATAAAGATATATCAGGTATGCTCTTTTGCAAACTTAAGAATAATTATGCTATAAGCTTTGTAAAATACAAATGTACAAATAAGAAACATTCTAAAACGTGAAAATTATGGAAAAAAAACAACATGGCCATTAAATTGTGACATAATACAACTTTAACTCTGGCACCTATCTTCATTTAATAGCAAACTAATTCATGAAATTATTCCCAGAAACACTTTTCTTAGTCCATTACTCCATTTTTCCTCTTAAAATATGAGTTTTCGATCAATGTTTTCATCTTCAAAGATCTCACGACAAAAAAAATATCAATACTCTTAGCATTTTAAATAAAAAAAAGAAAGGCGATTTATGTATCAACATCATTATCTATATAGATGTTTATTTCTATATCTATATCAGTATCTATATCTATAGCGGCATCTATATTTATAGCTATATCTTGTTTTATAGCTTTTGGACCCTTTCAAACAGTTGAGTCCGAAATAACATATATAAACAATATAACATGGGATGAGAAATATCGAAATATTGAAAAAAATCACCATTTTATATCAATCTCACATAGAACATTATCACTATCCAAACATGGGAAATCATACAGCCCATAATAACCACTGAAGAATTCCATACAGTAGCCGTCACTGAATGTTCTTGGGCAATATGAACACAAGTAGGAAATGCTGACCGGATAATTTTGACCTTCAATGAGATTATAATTAAAATTATGATAATAATTATGGTTTTTCGATTATTAAATTATGTAGGGCTAATTAATGTGCCTAATGTTCCCAGAACTTTTTAGTAATTGCTAAAAAATTTTCGGAATGGAGCCTTAATCTCAAAAAAGTTTTTTTCGATTTCTTTTCGATTATTCAATATTTGTTGAAAATTTTTTTTGAAATCGTTTTCTATACAAATTTAATCAAATAAAATTGTTGTAAAGGGGGGGTTTTGTCAAAATTTGAAGGTTTTTTTTTTAAATTAAACATTCAACTTAACTAGCAATAAGCTGGCCATTAGTTATTTCACAATGTTAATTTAAAATTTTTCAACTTTAACCTGGATAAGGTCCCCAAAGTAGTTCGCTAATCCCACTGATGTTGGTACGATACATTGCAGACCAGGCAAAACTGAAATCTGTCCAGAAATAATGTAAAATCCAAAATGAAAAATTACTAAAACAATATTTGAAAAATAGGTATTATTTTTGGTATGGTGTTAATCTTTTAAAAGCAGATCTGTTCTAAGGTTCTGAAATTTACAAAATTGAAACTTGACTGTACATAATTTCGTACACTATTATAAAAAACACAAATTTTGTGCTTCATCAAAGTTCATCCTTATAAAAACATAAACTTTCAACTAGAATTTAAATTCTACATAATCGTGAATTAAATTTATAGTGAAAATATACTTCCGACAATCACAAATACTAAATGATGAATGTAACCTTAATGATTAAGTATATTTAAAAATTATACTTTTACTTTTAGTATTTAGGTACGATTGAATGGCAGTCATTTCAACGGTATCATTAATCACAACAGGGTGAGAGTTTAGTAGGTTGTTGCACAAAGTCCTGGAATTATTCCAGGTGTTTGTATTTGGTTGAAGGTAGTAACATCTGTGGTTCTCAACGACGTATTCAAATTTTGGTGGGCAGTCTAAAATTTTTTTTAATAAATTTTAAAAGATGAAAAAATGGAAAAAGCAATCTTATTAATCTGTGTGAAATAAAAAATAAAATTTCAACAGAATTCTCGATTAAATACCATGAGCGCATTTATATGAATAGACAATCTAAACATTTTTTTGCACTTTTTTATATGAAAATATTTCGGAAAAAAAGCAAATTAAAATTATTTATTTTATAAATCGAAAAATAGTAAAAAAAAACAGTCTTTACAAACCATGAGTGACAAAAGCCTGACATCCTGCTGTTAAGATCGCTGTTACTGTGTATATGATGTTTACTTTTGGAACACATGTACAGGTTTTTTCTGGTTTCCTGAAGTTGATTCCTCTTAAATTGTTGTTAGTTGCTTGCTGAAGGATATATAAGAGAATCCAAAATGTACGTAAAATTTGAAAAGTCAAAAGTCAAACAACTATAATGCATAAATATTAAAGTTTTGTCAATTTCATACTAAATATATTCCGAAACACAAATTATTTTCACAAAAATTACTCTCACCATGCATCTACGGATGCAATCCAGGTTCGAGGCGGCCTTTACCTTCAGGACAAGACTCATGGAATCATTGAAACATATTTTTGTCTTCTGGTTGCTAGTGACAATTGGACTATAAGCCAGTTGAAACTTAACTGACTGATCCAGACCGTACAGAGAGAAACGTATTAAAACCAGAAAGAACAAACTAGAGACTGTTATTTTACTCATTTCTCTGGCGAATTTAACTTTTACGTCAGTTAACTCACTCTTATCACTATTTCAACCTAGCTAGTAAATTTTTGTTGTATAAGAATATGAAAAGTGAGAAACTGAGAAAATGTATATATATATATATATATATATATATATGTATATATATATATATATATATATATATAACCCGGCGCTTAACCAACAACGAAAACAAAAAAGTAATAAAAACTAGCATCGTAAATAGTGACAAAGAAGAATATGATGCTATCAATGAAGAAAAGGATATGACCAATAAAGAAACCTGACACCTAATTCGCATCAAAGTTCAATTTTACAACACCAAAGTTAATTTTTACAACGCCAAAGTTCATCTTGACAAACACAATATTTCCCTATATATACAGCAAGGAGCACTGATGATGATTCATTCGGAATCGAAATATGGCCTTATTTGCAGCATGAATTCGAAAAATAAGTTTATTTTTAATTTTAATAAACTAAACGTTCACCAAAAAACTTTAGTGAGAAAAATCGAAAAAACGAACTACAAACATATTAACGCCAAACATTCGGTAGAATTTATAGAATATTGTAAAAATTATGGTCTATTACCAGCATATATATATATATATATTTATTTTTTTTTTTATTTATTTTATTTTCAATAAGGGAACCAAATAAGTTTAAATGAAAAAACTTGTGGAGAGGCCACCCTAAGTACTTTACTTGAGATATATATGCAATTTAAAACAGAACAGAAAATATACAAATTAAATTTCAATGCATGCAAAAATCGATAAATATAGTCAGTAGGATTAACACTCGAAAAACAAAGTTAATATCTGAACATATAAGTATATACAGATATTACTAATGAATCTACAATCAAAAACAGAAAGTAGATTGGCAATGTGAGATAATTTATAGTATTTGATACAATAATTAAAAGTATGGATTGATTGAAGAGATGAATAAACGAGTCTAAGTGGACAGAAACATATGCTGAACTTAAAATAATTATTAGCGATGAAATGAGCCATATATAGTGTAATATATAAAAGGTTAAGATTTAGA